GTAAGTAGGAATCTCGCCTACAGTATAAATAGATTTTAAAGTAAACAGTACACATGAACTATATATGTTTGAGTACATTTAATGTTATGAATGCTATGCTATGTTATACTACATACACTTAGGCAGTACACCCGAATTATATGTGTTCGAGTACATGATATAGTATGCTATGCTAGGTCATATTGCATACACCTTAATAAGTCAAGAGGAACTTATAAGAGTAATCTCAGTTGAGTGCTGTACCAGCCTCCACAAGGGAGGTAACTCAAGCTCCACAAGGGAGAAAATAATAATAATAATGATGTCCTCCGACTCAAGGGAGGCATTCAAGTTATAATCACGGTGTCATGGGGGACCTTGCAAACCCTCACGTCCCGATGATTGCGTGCAAGTGGTACGAGCACTCGGGCCCATCAGTAAGAAAGATAAGATAAGATAATAAGATTCTGATAAGACATCATAATTAAGCATAATTGGCTCATGCATATTTATTCATGTGAACTTACAGTTATTTTGCGAGAGATAGTTCCTACTTGCTGAGCGAAAGCTCATTATAGAATGTTTATATTGTAGGTAAACAACCGGCATATAATGCCTGATGGACTGTTGGTGAGTGGACGAACGATGTGGGGCTCGGGATATGGATACCGCTCGCAAATATTTCCGCAATCAGCTTTATGTTATAAATAGTTTTGGTAATTATGATTCGGAAACAGATATGTTAAGGTTTGAATATTTTAATTAAGAAAGCAATTTCGTATTTTATGTTTATTATAAGACCTTTAAAAAAAAAAAAAGTTCCGTAAATTTTAAGAAATTTCAGTAAGTACAAATTAAAAAGTTAGTTACAGTGGCGGCCTCAAAGGAGAGTCGCTACATCTGTCAACCGCAGTTAAAGTGTTAAAAAGCTAGAATCTAAAAAGTAGAAAAAAGTTGTTAAAATACTATTACATATGTATATAACTGATAAGTACTGTTAAATTATTTAATATATTTTTTAAAATAATATTAGATGTTTTTAAAAATGTATAATCAAACGGAATTTCAGTTTTTTCTTATATTGAAAATAATTTCTCAATAAAACTACCAAACGTATTTTTAAAAATAATTTTTATCTGAGATTAAAAATATTTTCATTTTCATTTCATACAAAAAAAATAAAATCATTTTAAAACTAACTCCAAACGCAAAGGTTGATAGTGTTGTTCTAAATAATATAAAAAAAAATCAACTTTTTAGGGATGAGAAAGAAAAGAAGAGTGATTTTTTAAATGAAGAAAAATGAAAATGATTCTAAATCATAATTCTGAATCTATAAACTAAACATCAACTATTTCATTTAAAGTCCTCAAACCTTCAGATTTTCTGAAGGTTGCGGGGTTATAAAGAGGAACAAGATGAAGAAGTGAAGAGTCAAGAACATGTGGGCCCAGTTTTCTGATATCAATGATACAAGTGATAGGAATGTGAGGCGCCATCAAAGCGGGAAAAATGGCGAGGAGAGAAATCGGGGTTTATATATCCTTTTAGCTTGAAGTGCTCGAATAACATTTTTTTTTAAATTACAGGTACAATAATAATATTATCAAATCAAAAACACATAACTATTGATAATGTAAAAACAAAATACTTTCCCTCAAAAACAAAAATAATATGGGTGTTTGAAATGCATTTTGTTTTGGATTTGACTTGGTGAAGATGTCAGCCTTTTGGGATGTAGTGTCAACAAGAACAAATGAGGTGACAATCGATCTCAATACGTTTAGTGCGTTCGTGAAAGACATCATTATGAGCTATTTGAATAGCATTTTGATTGTCACAATAAATGGGAGTGCTTGAACGATGAGAAACACCCATGTCTTGAAGGAGCCATCGTAACCATAGTAGTTCGGATGTTGCATCTGCAAGAGCTTGATATTCAGCTTCGGTGTTGGAGCGGAGACAACAATTTGCTTTTTACTTCGCCAAGAAATAAGTGATGAACCAAGTAAGAAACAATAGCAAGTGGTAGAGCAACGATCTGTAGGATTCCCTGCCCAATCTGCGTCACAATAACATTCTAAATCTAAAGAAGTGCTAGAGGAAAAATGCAATCCATGAAACATGGTACCCTTTACATATCTCAGGATACGAAGAACGGCAACAAAATGAGTCGATCGGGGAGCAAAAAGAACTGACTGACCAAATGAACAACATATGCAATATCAGGACGGGTAACTGTTAGGTTAACAAGACTTCCCACCAAGATTCGATACAAGGTTAAATCTGTGAGAAGAGTATCATCTGAAGGAGAAAGCCGAACATTTTGCTCAAGAGGTGAAGGAGCAATCTTGCTATCTATCAATCCTGCTTTGGCTATCAAATCAGAAGCATACTTCGTTTGTGATAAATCAGATCAGTGGTTAATATTTTAGAAGAGTTGGAAAGACTCTTTGTAAAGCCAAATATGATTGTGGACTTTTAATCAAGCCATAAATCAAAGCAAGCATGAAGGATTTTTTTTTTCTCTCTTTCCAATCCAGATGGTAGGTCTGGTGATGCAATCCCACAAAAATAAAGGGTGCATCTTACAGCATTTTTAAGGAACCTCTTGTGCACGGCACCAAACCAAAAACCTAAAATAAAATTTTAAGAAGTGATCCATCAAAGTTTCAGCACTAATAAAAAAGAACTTGGACACAAAAGTCATGACAATAGTGCTACGACCATATATCACAAAGAGCCTAATGGGTCATTGTGGAAACTAGGGAACTGCATCATTAGAAAATGGGTTATGTGCTCTAATCGTCGCTCAGATTCAGCCTTCTCCGCTTATATTCAGCGTATTCAACCAATTTCCGCTCACATTCAGCCAACTTCTGCATTACCTCTTGCTGATTTTCAACACACTTTTTCGTATGTTCCACCCACGTTTTTGTATCTTCCGCCAACTTCTGTTCTAGCTGTTGCAACTTCTGTTCTATCTGTTGCGCCTTCTGATGTAATAACTGGTACCCACGTTCAGCTTTCTGCTTTGTCTGTTGCTCACTTTTTTCAGATATCTGCAAAAAAATATTCTTAGGATTACATAAGTTTTGGGAAGAAAAATTAGGCAGAGAAGAAAGTTTTGAAACTGAATCAAGTACAGATATTGGACAAGGAAAGTTTTAAAAAATGAAGATGCTAGACATTTACATCCCAAAAGCAATTGAGACAGACTCAATCTCATGCACGCGAGTGTGTAAAAGATTGTAATATCCCATAATGTATAATAAATGATCTTAGAGCATAGATCTTACTGTGTGGTGCAATGTACCATATTTAAGCCATTCAAGCAGAAATTAGTTAGCTGCAATGAATTTCATACTTGTGCAGTGTTGGTATTGTATTGGTCCATGGGTTCGGATCATTCTTCGTGCGATATTATATTAATGAAATCTCTATCACTGTTAGTTGAGCTGAGCATTCTCTCCAACAATCTGCGAGTATTCT